CCAAAGTGAGGGTCACTTTACTCTTTAAAGTCTTTCGCAAATATGCCATCGATTCACTTTGAAGTGTATTCTGTGAGGCGCTTTGAGACGTCTCAAAGACGTGCTAAGGCGTTGTATCACAAGCGAGGATAATTATTATCATAAAGTGAATCCGAAGGAACTGTCCTCACAAACTGAGCGTTTTTATTCACGTAAGAGGCGAAGAATGTGCCGTATGATGTTTATCACCGAAGATGATGAGTAGTATATCACATAGCGCATTTCCCCAACCCCTCCCATCCCTCTCCCCACTCAAGAAATCAAAGGATTACAACTAATTTTAACCAATGATCAAACACCATTCCTCGGATTCATTACATATAATCTTTCACATGTTTCCAGTCTCTGATTTGGTCCAAAATAACAACCTCAGTCTCCTGTGTGATATCATTACTCCAGCTACATAGCAGGGATGCTCTCCCTTGCTTGTCGTCCCATCATGTCACATCAGATTATTATTAATATTATTATTATTAATAATAATAACAACAACTTGCATTTCTATAGCGCCCCTCACGCAGGGTAGTGTCTCAGAACGGTTGACAGTGGGCGGAGCACAGCAACGAGTCGGTGGGAGGGGAAGTAATAATAATAATCTTTATGTTTGATTCAGTGCTTTTCAGGCAAATGTCTCCAAGCCCTTCATAGGATACACCGTTTAGGAGAACACGTCAGTAAAGCTGTGCTCAGAACTGGTCTCATGTATCCAATTAGGAACTATATGTGGAATGAACCTCATTTATAAGCATCAATTATGGTGGGACGGTCATAGTGACTGATTTAGTCAGCTTACCAAATCATAAGCACAGGCTTAATGTTGCAGCTACACAGCCACTTATATCACAAAGACACGCAAGACCAACCCTCACTCACTCAGACTGAAGTTTAGGGAGTTTGGGAGTTTCCTGTAATTATTCCTTAGAACCATTGACCACAGGATCGGTTGGGATGAAGACCCTTCGGCCCATCTGGTCTCATCGCTCCAGCACACCCATCCTCCCATCACAGCGAGGAGCATTCTTTCTTTTTAAAAAAGGAATTCCAGGGTCCCAGCCTCAACCAATTTCCCTCTTATTAGGTAAAGAAAAACTTCCCGGTGTCTGTCCTGAAATTTGAAACTCTTAAACCCGCGTCCTCTAATTTTTACACGCAGGAGGAGGTTGGCTTCCCCTCAACCTGAGTCTCAAAGCGGGACTTGAACGCACAACTCTGTGACTCAACAATAACAGCAAATCTACATTTGTGTCGTGCTTTTCACTGGAGGTTGGGATCAGGAGGGGTGGCGGGCAGGGAAAGTGTAGGAGGGTGACCGAAGGCGCGGTTGAAGGGAAGGGTCTTGAGAAGGGTCTTGAAGGCGGCAAGGGAGGGAGCAATATAAGATATATATTACATATAAGATATATGGTATATATGTATGTTCCGTTTATATATATAGCGTTTCGCTCACGAAACACAGTCACTACAATTTACAATATATTCTGTGAAGCGCTTTGAGACGTCTCAGCGACGTGAGAAGGTTCCCTCCATCAAATGCAAGGATTATTATTGTTATTGTTATGAGACTCGGAGGTGAGACTGAGCCGGGATGACACCCGGTGACACAAATGGCACGTCAAAACTTATCAAGGAAACAAAGAAACAAAAATAAACACGGCAAGAGAAAGCGATTGCAAAAGCTGACGAGGGTTTTGTTTGGCTGCTGATGAAACGAATCCCTGAGGACCTCAAGGTTGTGCTAAGCAAAGATCCACTATATTTGGAATTCTTCTTGACGGTACCCAGCGTGTGAGGGACGGTCCTTATGTAGTGTAAAACCAGTGGATTTTGGTAGGAACAAGACGAGCAAATGTTGCGGTTAAGCAAAGATTGAGCCTTTGAACATTTTGAACTTCATTGAAGGCCTTCAACAACAACAAAATTCATCTTTCACGTTGGGAGAATGTCCCAAGGTGCAGGACAGTCAGTGTTTCGAGCTGGGGGGTTGGGATCGGGGAGTGGGGAGGGCAGTCGGGGGGGAAGGAGGGTGATCAAAGGCACCGTCGAAGAGGAGAATCTTGAGATGGGTCTTGAAGGAGGCAAGGGAGGGGGTGAGACAGGGGGGACTGTGGGATGGAGTTCCAGAGGGTGGGGGCAGAGTGGCTGAAGGTTTGCCCGCCAATGGTGGGGTGGACGAGGCGGGGACGTGAAGCAGGCTGGAACCAGCTGAGCGGAGGGAGCGGGCAGGTCGGCAGGGGGTTAGGAGGTCGCAGACGTAGGGGGGAGCAAGGCCACGGAGGGCTTTGAAGGTGAGGACCAGGATCCTGAACTGCATCCTCTGTGTGATGGAAGCCAGTGGAGTCGGACGAGGATGGGGGTGATTGGGTCACGGAGCCTGGTGCGGGAGAAGACACGGGCTGCAGAGCTCTGGATGATCTGCAGTCTATGGAGGGAGGAGTTGGGGAGGCCAACTTCACTTGTGTTTCCCTATGTCCCAGACACAAGGCTGACCAAAAAACAATGTTTAAGAGATGGCAGTGAACAGCCAGAGAGACAGTGGGAGAGTGGACTGGGAAGTGGGAATATGGGCCCATAATTGTCAGGTCAAAGTATTAAGGGATTCGGGGCAAGGACGGGTAATTGGACTCGATGTACAGATCAGCCATGATCTTATAGAATGGCAGAACAGGCTCGAGGGACTGAATGGCCTCCTCCCGTTTCTATGACTAGAAAAGACTTTAAACAGAGAACAAGTTAGGACAAGTATAAAATGATATATAATAATATATATCCTGTGTTCAATTCTCGATTCATGAGCCGTTCCCCCCTCCCCGCTGCCCCACAACTGCACCCCCTCCCCAGCGCAACCCCCACCCCCACAAATTTCTAAAAAAATAAATTCCCAAACAAATATTAAGACATTTTAAGAATGGTTCCACCCCCCCAACCCCCACCCCCACCCCCACCCCCACCTTGCCAGTACTGCAGAAGAAAGAACAATTTCCAAATTACGGCCAATTTTTTTGGGGGGGAAATAAAATCGAAAGACAGAATTGGCCCAGAATAGTCAAGACTGATATAAATCATCACAAATAATGATTATAATTATTATTAATGCAGTATATCCTGTGAAGCACGACACGATACGGCCTCAGATCACATGCCAGGATTATTAGCGATACAGCTTGCATTCGATGCGGGCGGGAGCTTGTCTCAAAGTGCTTGGCGGCATTTCCCCCCCCAACCCCCCCCCCCCCCCCCCCCCCCCCCCCCCCCCCCCCCCCCCACACTGTGCAGCGTCCTGCGCTGTGACGCTTTACGGGATGCCAGACTGGCCTGATGAGGGGTGCTATTATATGAATGCAAGTTGCTGCTGTTGTTGTTGTGCTTTTTTTGTGGGGTGGTGGTGCGTGTGTGGGTGGTTACAGTATAGTACTGTGTGCAAATCTCTGGTCTGCTCCAGGGGTAGCAATTCCATTGAAGGACGTCTGATGCAAGGGGGGAGCCAGCAAGCAAGCAAAGCTAAACTAAGCCACATAGCCACAGCCAAAGCTTCTGCCAAGGCACCAGATATTACGCGTCAGGAGCCTTGGGGGCGGATTAACATGCTATTTCCCTAGCAGCTTGGAGGCGAATTAATGGGAAGGAGGTGGGGGATAAAGAGGCCAGAGTGTCTGTCTGAGCGAACATTTTTTTGTTGGGTAGTGGGGGTGGGGGCAAATACCTCTTTCCCCCTCGCCTCTGCCAAAGGAAAATAGACATTGCACACACACACACACACAGGAAAGAGCTGATCGTTTGCTGCCTTGTGTGGATTTGCTGGTGGGTTGGTGTGTGTTGGGAGGAAGAGGGTGTGTGTGTGTGAGAGAGAGAGAGAAAGAGAAAGAGGGAGAGAAAGAGAGAGAGAGAGAGCGAAGAGGATTGCAGTCAACAGAGAAGGATTTATTTCTTGTTTTCTTTCTCTCTGTGTGTGTTGTGTGTGTGTGTATTTTTTTTGTTGGCCTCTCTCTCTCTCTCTCTCCTCTCTCCTCTCTTGTCCTGCTCCAGGAACCCAAGTAAGTGTTAAATGCAATCCCGGCTCTCTCTCTCCTCTCTTCTCCTCTTCTTCTCTTCTTCTTCTTGTTCATCACCTGCGGTCGATGCTTCTTCCGTCGGACTCTGGGCGAAGGATGGAGGTTATGAATGGGAGTGAGACCCAACCATCACCATCACCACCACCACCACTACAACAACAACAACATCATCCACAACAACAACATGATCAGCAACAACAACAACAGCAACAACCAAAACAGAAGCAACAGCACCAGCCACACCAACAGAAGCAGAAACACCATCCGCACCCACAGCCACAGAAGCATCTGCTCAAGAAAAGGCTCCATCGAGCCCCGTCTCCAGCCAGACCCAAGGATGTCCGAGGTTGGTCTTTGGCCGGCAGGTCCAAAGGCAACAGCGGCAGCAGCGGCAAGGACAAGAGCAACGCCAGCTGCCAGCAAGCCCTGGCACAGTGTCGCTTTGCCAGGCACCTCCCTGGCACTGCCAGGGGCAACGGCAGCAGCAGCAACAGCAGCAGCGGCAGCCACAAGGCACCGGGCATGGCATCGACCTCCTCTGCCTCTCCTGCACCCGGCCCGGGCAGAGCCGGCAAGGGCAAGGGCAAGGGCATGGGGGGCACGAGCACGGGCACGTCCAGGTGCAAGAAGAAACCCACCAGGGATGCCAGGGGCCGGAGCCACCAGGGCCAGCTCTCGCCCTCGCCCTCGGCCTCGCCCTCACCCTGCGGGAGCAGCTCGGAGCTGTCAGATTGCGCTCTGTCCACGGGCAACAGCGACAGCGAGTCGGGCCGAGGGGCGAGCGAGTCGGAGCCCCGGGAGGGGGACAGGAGCTGGGCGGCTGAGGACCCGGTGCCAGAGCCTACGGGGAGTGGCAGTGCCAGCGCCAGTGCCAGCGCCAGCAGCGCCCAGTCACCAGCCTCCCTGCTGCGGGTGAGTGTCAGCACCTCCCTGGCTCTCTCCGACCTGAGCGAACAGCTGGCCGGCAGCATCCAGGAGGAGCTGCTGAGGGAGATGGAGGAGATGAGATCAGAGAACGAGTACCTGAAGGTGGGTGAAAAAAAGGATGTCAGGGCGAAGGAGGGGGGAAAGGGTTAAAAAAAAGAGGGAGGTTCCCATGTGATCGATTCGTTTGCAGATCGATACCTCGATATTGCTGATCGATATTACAATTATTGTTACTGTTATTATCGATATCCGGAGTCGTTAACGCAGATTCCGTTCCGGCCTCAATATTGCGGATAATAATAATAATAATAATAATCCTTACATTTGATGTAGCGCTTTTCACATCTTCTCGAAGTCTCAAAGCGCTTCACAGAACAGACTGTAAAGTGAATTGACCGTATATTTGTGGGTGAAACTCCTCGAATAACGATCGCAAATCAATACCAATGCAGTTCCTGTTACGGATCGATAGGCGCGAAACACGTATTGCCGGTTCTTGTCGCAGATCCATATCAGGGATCAATACAGCAACTCAGTGTTACGGGTCAATATTTACAATTCGCGTCACAGCCCAAATGTGTTACGACGGTAATCCCGAATCAGGTCGCAGATCAGTCTCGCAAATCGCGTAACCATTTTTATTACGGGATCCAGATTACAAACCGTATTACGACTCAACGTTGTACGTCAATATCGCGAAGGGTTACAGTTTCACTTCGCGGTTATTTGTGGGACAAGCCGCGTGCGCCTTGGCTGATGGGTCTGCCCCACAAAACACACAGTCACTCCACTGTACAGTATTATAATAATCATAAAATAATAATAATAATCCTTGCATTTGATATCACGCCCTATCGCGTTTTCGAACGGTCTCAAAGCGCTTCACAGGATAGACTGTGTAAAGTGATGTGACTGTGTATTTTGTACAATGTGTGCGTATCCTGTAAGCAGACTGGCTATCATTGAATTCCCACCTTACATCTTTAGGAAGTGACGTGCAGTTGTAAACTGACACCCACCACCTCCCCCTCTCCCCCCACCCCACCCCACCCCACCCGCCTTCCCCCCAACCCCCCACCCCCCACCAGCCCCACCGTCCGATTCCACCCCCATGACAAAGCCTGTGCACAATTATGTACAGTGAGCACGACCGGCAGTTGGAACTCCACACGGTTTCAGGCTGTGTGCGCGGTGTACGGTGCCGGATGCCTGCGCTTTGGAGGAATCTGGTGGTACATTACGTAGCGCTCCACTGTTCCCTTCGGGAATGTATTCAACAAAAAAGCTGCGAAAGCTAACAAAAACACAGCTAAGCTGCAGCTGCAGTGACATCACTGTCACACCCGCTTAGTACAGACGGCCACTCGCCCGGAAATAATACCCCCTTATTTTGTGTGTGTGGCGGTGGAGGGGGGGGGTGGGTGTTGGGTAGTGGGGGATGAGGGAATGAATTGCTTTTCTTTCTGGTTGAGATCAATTGCCCCCACCTCGCTCCTCCCAACCACCATCCCCACCCCCCCAATGAGTTCCTTACACCTGGCAGCCTAGCAGGAGGCAATGACATCATCGGGCTGGCAGGCTGGCATAGCAGTGGGTGTCCCAATGCCCTACCCGCTGTGAGCTGTGTGATTGCTCGCAGACAATTAGTGCGTAAGTAACCGTTTCAGAAAGCCAGGCTGGCTCACCGGCAGGGCCTGGGAGGGCAGACCAGTCACTGGGGGCAGGGGAATCATCTCACGAAGCTCCTGTTAATCCTGCAAGCCAAAGCCCTAACAGGTAGGGTGGTCCGAGCTGGACAAGCAGCGGGAAAGCTTGCCGGACAGCAATATCGCCAACGGGATGCATGCATTCTCAGCTTGGTTTGGATACTCGCAGTCATGTGATGGGTGGCGGGTTTCCGCACGTGTCAGACACCCAGCTGACCAAAAATGTTTTCAAAAAGGGCATCCCCTGAGACAAGAGATTAATGCCAAAGAGGTCCAGCCTACGTCACTGTCATTGTTTATCAACCTTTCCTTCACGCCATTCTGTCCAAACCTGCGTTTACCTGCAAAGAGAAATCTGATGCATCAATAAGTCAGCAGAGGCTTCTTGACTTAAATGTATTCCCTGACGCGCTTTGAAACGTCCCGCAGACGTAATAAGGCACTATATCAAATGCAAGGATTATTTTTATCATCAAGTGCTTCAACAGAGAGAATTAAGGAAGGCCGCACGTCTCACTGGCCGGCTCGGTGCTGTCAATGGCAAGCTGTGCGTTTTTAGCTGGTTAATAACTCCAGCAGTTACCGCCCCCTGCCCCGAACAGCCCCACACCGCACATTCTGGGGTCTCCCCTCCCCAAGCCTTGGCTCTTGCCAGACTATCCCTGATGCTCTCCTGAATTAGATAAACGGGGTGCATTCCTCCAGGGAGGTGAAGTGCGTATTGCATTCCAGACACGGGGAAATTTCCGTGTGTAGGTGACGTACTTATGTGAAACTCTCAGTGATGGGTGCAAAATTTTGCCCACAAAATGCACAGTCACTACACTTTTACAATAAATCCTGTGAAGCACAACAAGACGCCTTGCTGATGTAGAAGGCGCTGTATCAAATGCAGGGAATATTATCCAATTTATTATTCAATTTGCAGTCCTTAGCAACACTAAATACGCGTTGTAGTGTCTCTAATTTCACCCCCTTCCCCTAAATTGGCACAAAACAGCTCTGAAAATGAAATGAATATCATTTTTCCTTCCCTTCCTCCCCACCACCCGCCCAATGTTCAGGATGAAATTGAGGAGCTGCGGGCAGAAATGCTGGAGATGAGGGACATCTATTTGGAAGAGGACGTTTACCAGCTGCAGGAGCTGCGGCAGGAATTAGACCGAGCAAACAAGACGTGTCGAATCCTTCAGTATCGACTGCGAAAGACTGAGCGAAGGAGCCTTCGGGTGGCACAAACCGGCCAGGTCGATGGAGAGCTGATAAGGAGTTTAGAGCAAGATGTGAAGGTATTGTTTGCTGCGTCTTGATTTGTGTTGCAAATGTTTCTTCAACCTGGCTGGCCGGCTGTCAGTCCACACGTGCCCTTTATGTGCGATTTATCTTACTTGACACAACAGTCATATACTTCTACTTGTGCTGCAATCCTGTCTTCCTACTCAACGCAGCGACCAGAGGAATGTCGGGTCGCCCAGTCACCATGACGTCACTTCCTGCGAGGTCTACAAATGCTAGATGCCAACTCCAGATGGAGTGGAGTGCGTGTGCGTAACCTACAATAACAACAACTTGCATTTATAGAGCGACCCTCAATACAGGGTAACGTCCCAGAGCGCTTGAAATAGCAGAGCACAACGCCAAGCCGGGGGCGGGGGGGTGGGGGGCGGGGGGAAGAAGGTGACCGAAGGCACAGTCGAAGAGGCAATGACTGAGACGTGGTCTGAAGATGGGGAAGGAAGGGGTAAGGCAGAAGGATAGAGGGAGAGTGTTCAAGAGTTTCAGGGTACAGTCTACAACACATGCTCGATCCCAGCCGGTTCTCCTTTGGCTCTGAACCCTTCGAGTGAATTCCACTGTTGAGAAGCAATGGAGCAGTCACTCCTGCTGTAACCAGTTTTGTGCGTGTGCATGCTTCGCGCCAGAATGCAAATAAACAAGCCCTTTGCTTGTTGTGCAAGCTCATTGTTGCTGCCCCCTTTCAAGCCCAATCAGTTATACTCGCTCCTGAGTTGATCTAATTGAGCGAATTAATTTGCTGACGACCACACTTTTCTGAACATCAGATTCCTGTTTTGACTGAAGGCAAAAAATGTCCGTGCGTGTTGGCCAGCTTCTTGGCCATGAGGGATTTGTTATTTTGCAGTGAATCTGGAATCACCATCCAAATGCCATCTTTCTTTTGACTAAGAGATAGATTTATATAATAGTAATAATCCTGGCAGTTGGTCTTCCAGACGTCTCAAAGCTCTTCACAGAATATGTTTTAAAGCGAATGTTTTGTGGGTGAAACGCAGCAGCCAATTGCACACAGAGGCGTCTCACAAACAGTCGTGGATTGAAGTGTCCAACAGTGAAAGGAGAGCTTAAGGAGAATTTACGTTCACGCACATAGAATCGTTTGGATGTGGATTGGACTGTCAAGTAAGGGGTTAAGAGACAGAGTCCTTTGTAGGTTTCAAGAGGGAATTTGTCACCCCTATGTTTCCTCTCTACAATGCACTTGACCAACAGCTGAAACATGTGGAAGAATGATGATAATTGTATTTAGAAGTACTTAATTGTATTCAGTACAAATGTTTAATTGTATTTATAAGTCCAGAGGATCGGTGCACATGTGTGTGTGAGTGCCATAATTTTCATGGCAGATGATAATCCTTTACCATTTTCGTTGCGATATCTTCCATAACAAGAAAGGATGGAGTTAGGAGGCAGTTACTAGTATCAGACACTCGACTCATCTGCAACAGAAAATAGAAATTCATTGTAAGAAAAAAAACCAAGGGGCAAAGAGACTTTGTGAACATCCTGTAGACAGAGGCTTGAGAGATAGGGGCTTGAAGGAATATGGGGCTAGGGCAGGGCTGTAGGATTGTATGAACAGCTTGCTCTGAAAGCTGGTGCAGACTCGATGGGCCGAGTGGTCTCTTTCTACACAGTAAATGTCTAATCATACAATTCCACTAAAGTGTCGAACAATTTTTTTTTGTATTTGTGGCTGATTAACATATTAAACAAGGGTGACTTTTAAAGGTGTTGCCAATAAAGGCCTGGATATCTTCCCCCCCCAAAAAAAATAATAATAATACGGTCACTTCAGTCCACGACTGTTTGTGGGACACTGCTGTGTATGCAATTGGCTGCCGCGTTTCGCCCACAAAATACACAGTCGATTCGCTTTACAGTATATTCCGTGAAGCGCTTTGAGACACCTCAACGACATGATAAGGCGCTTCATCAAGCGCAAGGATTATAAGGACGTCAGTGTGTTTCCCGCGTGTAACGAGTTTCCCGTTCCCAGGTCTCAAAAGACGTGTCGGTGAGGCTACACGGTGAGCTGGAAACCATAGAGAAGAAGCGAGTGAGGCTGGAGGACGAAAACGAAGACCTTCGTCGGAGGCTAATTGAAGTGGACGTTTCGAAGCAGGTGCTGCAGAGCGAAATGGACAAACTGAAGGAGGTAAAGCAGCGACGTTTGTGTCAGCCTCACCGTCTAGGCTGGTGCTGCAGCACAGTGCCGGGTGGGTGGGGAGTGAGGATAGCTGCATTGTCGGGAGGTGCCGTCCTTCGGATGAGACATTAAACCGAAGATCGCCGTCCATGACTTGGTCGGGTTGGGTGTTAAAGCATTCACCTGAATCGAAAGGCAGGCGGAGTCTAAACTACCGCCTCGATCAAAAACAAGGGATCGCGATCTGGAAATTCATAAATAATAGACGTTGGAATGTGAAATGCGCCTAAACATGGAAGTCAGTTGAAAACAATACTGCAGTGTTTGGTCTCTCAGCGTGTTTCAGACCCCGTGATATCCCCCACTAGCCGCTGATTAGACCTTTTGCTGCTTCGTGGCCTCGGCTAATTATAGCAGTGAGTTTGAAGGCAGAGTTCTTCCTCCTCATATGTCGCTCACTGATAACTTTCTGAGGTGCCACTGGGCGTGATTAAGGAAAGCTGCCTTATAGCTTGAACTGTTATCCTCGGTGTGTTTGTGTGTGTATCTCTATATCTATAAATAATGTGTGTACATGTACGGTGTGTGTGTGGATGGTGTGTGAGTATATACGGTGTGTTTGTATGTGCTGTGAGTGTTTTTCATCTCTGTATTTGCGTAGTATGTGTGTGTCCATGTATGTGTTTATGATACTGGTATGTATGGTGTTTGCATATGTATGGTGTGTGTGTGCATGGTGTGTGTTTTTATGATGTCTGTGTGTGTGTGTATGTTAACGTCTGTGTGTGTGTTGTCTGTGTGTGTGTGTGTGTGTGTGTGTGCATTGATGTGTGTGTGTGTTGATGTCGCCGTCCGGCGTGGAGGACGCTATATAAATCCAAGTTGTTGTTGTTGATATTTGTGTGGGTGTGTATGTTGATGTCTGTGTGTGTGTGCGTGTGTATAATTCTGTGTCTGTCTGTCTGTGTGTGTGTGTTGATGTCTGTGTGTGTGTGTGCGCGCGTACGCTTTGATATGTGTATGTGTGTACGTTGACATCTGTGTATGTGTGTGTGTTGATGTCTGTGTGTGTGTGTGTGGGGGGGGCGTGGATGGGTGTCATGTGGTGAGATAGTCAGTATACGGGTAATGTGAACATTGATTGAAATAAATGAGACAAAGACGGTATTTGTTCAGAGTCACTTGACTAGGAGAACATCTCTGGAATGTAGAGCATGTCTCTTAGTCACAGTGACTCGGCTGCCTTCCTGCTTTATAATTTGATGGCTCGCCGATGTTCAGTACCTATTAAGCGTATCGTCGCTAATCACATAAGTCACACCAGCTCAGCTTTACTGGAACTATTTATGCCTGAAAGAAGATGGTTTGGACATGTCAGCAGTTTCAAGAGGGATTTAGACAGCTATTTGGCAAATATAAATTGATCTGAGAGCAGAGTGATATGCGGTGCATATATTTAACTTTATTTATTTTACTGTGATGAGTCGCAGTGGCCAGTGTTTTGCGGTGGTGGTGAATAGGTTTGTTGTACGGAAGAGTAAAGGCTCAGCATGCAATCTAAATCCCACCGCAGCGGGTCTGAAAGTCTGAAAGTCAGTGTTTGTCACAGAAATGCAAAGATGTCCTCGTCGGAGCTCACTGTCTTAATCCGTCGTTCAGATGAGATGTTAAACCAAGGTTCTCGACTGCCAGTTTGTGTGGATGTTAAAGATCCCATGGCACTACTCGTAAAGAGAAGGCAATTTCTCCCATGTGTCCTGGCTGATGATGTCCTCATATAAAAATTGGTCATTCACTTCACGACTGTATACGGAACATCGCTGTGTGCAAATTGACTGCCACGTTTGCCTATAAACAACACGGTCACTACATTTTACAGTAAGATCCTGTGAAGCGCTCTGAGATACCAAAGGCGCTATATCAAATGCAATAATTGCTATTATTATTAATAATAATTAAATGTGACGAGAAGAAATCAACGCACCTTAATAACCCAACGGCGGGTAATCGCTTTGTCCCAGACGTGACCTTTTAGTTTGTGGCTCTGATGGATTTTTATGCCAGGAACATTTCAACAGCAGGTTGTGCATTCATTTGCGTCCAGGAGCCATGCATAATGTATTGAGTTAAGAGCTGGCCCTCAGAGAGCGATAACCTGCGGTAACTAGGCCACTCCGCTGGTATCACACGTGAAAATTCATGCTCCCCAGATCCATGTTGAAGATTCTGTGCATGTTTTTCTCCCCCGTGATTTATTCCCGACCTCAGCTCTGTAAAATGATAACGCCTTCATGCCCATCATCTTTACAAGGGTGTAACACATGTAAAAATGTCATTGGGAGCAATATTTATCGCCAACAGTAAAGGTTCTGCTGAAATGATTCCAGCCGGATGCTCATTGCCCTGCTAAACCCAGTTGAAATGAAATGAGACTGTTTATTTACTGGCGGGGATTTTACGAGCGGCATCGATTTTGAAACCCCCCGACTGACGTGGACAAGAAATAATCATAATAATAATTAATAATAATCCTTGCATTTGATACATGCTTTCCACCTTATCATGTCGTCGAGATGTCCCAAAACTCTTCGCAGAGTATACTAGAATATGGATTCACTGTATTTTGTGGGTGAAACGCTGCAGCCAATAATAAATAATAATCCTTGCATTTGATATAGCGCCTTACCACATCTTCTAGACGTCTCAAAGCGCTTCACAGAACGTGTGGTAGAGTGAATTGACGGTATATTTTGTATGATCTGTGGTGGAAAGAGTGACCAATTGTATTTGGGGGATTGATGCCCAGTTACACGGACAGACTGAGGGCACAGAGCGATGATTGTGAGCTCGGTCACGAGACTGGTGAGAGAGCCAGTTCCTGATAAACACCTAATTACTCAGATACGTAATGGAGCATTGGGGCTCAGCTGGCTCCAAACCACAACTCATTCTTTCCGTCGCTGTTTACGAGATGTTGCAGCGTGCAACTCGGCTGCCGTGTTTGCCCGCAAGATACACAGTAACTACACTTCACTGTAAACCCTGTGAGAGCACGGTTTGCAGGGTTAACAGGAGCAGACTGGGAAGAATACCCGCCCGCCCTCCCCAGCGACCAACCGGTCTGCCCCCTCCCAAGTCCTGCCAATGAGCCAATGCTGGGCTGGTCTGCCCAACAGCAGTGCCCTGGAACCCTGCAGACCTGCCCGGCTCAGGAACCAGACTAGAGACTACCACAGAGGGTGGACTCAATTACGCTCTTATGTTGCCAAGCGCATTGCCTTGGAGCCAGTTCATCTTATTCCCCTTCCCCCACCCCTTCCCTCCCACCAAAGTATACTGACCAGATGCTTATAATATTCCACTCTTACATTAAAATAAGATATTGCAGCCGTAATCCAACGCAGTGGCACCACGGGTTTGCTTTTGGGTGAGGCTCCAGTCATTTGAGTTTAACAGGAAATGGGAGTTTAGTTGGCCGGCTGCGTATCAGAGGTGCTTCCTCTAGATCCCCAGACCCAATTCCCAGAACCTCTCGCTCGGAAACTGTTCCAACAAAGCCTCTTGGTTAACGACGCTTCCTGGTTCCATTCAGGCCAATTGCGATAAGATGATCAGGCTCTTGTTCTGTAAAGTCTTTCGCATGCTTTATCCCGCGCTCTCTCTCGCTCGTAGGCATCTGTCACTGTCACTACACTTTACAGTATTTCCTGCCAAATTCTTTGAGATGTCCTCAAACCGTTCAGTTCCTACACCCCTGATCTCTGGATCTCTCTCCCTCTATCATTTCATTTTGTCTTGCCCCCCCACACCACCCCGTTTCTCTCTTTTAAGTTCAGCCTCAAATGTTACCTCTTAAAAGTGCCTTTGGCCACCTCTGCCCTCATGCCCCCACCCCACCCCCTCACCCCCCAGCTCAGCATCCAAGCCCATCCCTGCAACGTGCTCCCAAGACATTACCCTCCCCGAAGGGCATGATATAAAAACAAATTATTGTTGTCCTCACGATGTGTAGCAACAACAACACTGTACTGGGTTTTTCATCCAGGATAGGGTGTGGGAATGCTGAAAGGATGTAAGGACTAGTATTTATTTTATTCTGTCTTCTTTTTTTCTCTCCGACATTTTCCTTTAAAGAGGTTTTTTTTTGAGGCTCTGTCCCGGGTCAGTGCTATTTATAAGCCTTGTAATTTGTGCAGTAAGAACAGTTTGGAAGAGCAGCTGAGTTTGTTCACTGGCTAAACATGAGATTTAACAGAGAGAGACAGGGTTCTGCCACCTCAGGAAACAGGATAAACGAGATGGTAACGTCACCAATCAAACCTCTCGCCTCTGGTATTTAAAATTGATAATGCTTACATTAGAATACGGCGCCTTTCATTTTGGGAGGACTTCTCAAAGCGCTTTGCGGAATGACTGTGCATTTTGTAGGCGAACCCACCAGCCGATTTGGACACAGCAACAGCCAACAGACCGCCATGAAGTGAATGGCTTGGTTTGATTTGCAGGGATTCTTGGTCAGGGTCAACGGGATTGAAGAATTTGCTTCTCTTTTCGAGTATTGCTGTGGGATCGTTAACGTCCACCTGGACGGGCACAAACAGAGCCTCGGTCTAACGTCTCATAAAGAGGTTTTCCCCGGTGTCCTGGTTGACAGTCTCCCCCCTACCCCCCAATAAGATCGATCATTCACTTGGCGGGCCATTGCTGTATGCAACTTGGCTGCCATGTTCCCCTACTAAATATAGGCCGTCTGCTGTGCAGTAAATCCTGCAACACACTTTGAGATGTGATCCTGAGGTGAAAGGCACTATATCACCCATAAAACACAGTCACTACACTTTATAGTATATCCTGCAATGCGCTTTGAGATGTCTCAAAGACGTGATAAGCGCTATATAACCCATGTGAAACCGATCACCTGCTCCCTCTACCCCATCCCTATCCCTCTCCATACCTCCCAGCTCCACCTCCTTGTCCCCCTGCTCACAGACATCATAAACCTCTCCTTATTCACTGGCACCATTCCCACCTCTTTAAAAATAGCCGTCATCACTCCTATCCTTAAAAAATCCTCCCTGGACCAATCTCTGCTCTCACATTACCGCCCCATCTCCAACCTCCCCTTCCTCTCCAAGGTCCTGTAACGATTTGTTGCTTCCCAGCTTCGCTCTTCCTCTCCCACCACTCCCTTCACGATCCCCTCCAAACGGGTTTCCGTGCTGCCCACAACACAGAAACAGCCCTGGTCAAAATGACCAATGACATTTTGTCCATCTGCGACCAGAGCTCCCTCTGCCTCCTCGTCCTCCTTGACCTTTCTGCTGCCTTCGATACCGTTGACCACGCTATCCTCCTCCACCGCCTCTCCTCTCACCTCAACCTTCATGGTTCACCATCCAACGATGCACACAGCACCTCACTGAGCCAGTCTGGAGCCTTGGCTTGGCTTGTTTGAACCTCAACTATCCTTTCTATTGGCAGGCGGGCCTTCAGCCACTCTGCCCCACCTTCTGGAACTCCATCCTGCAGTCCCTCTGCCTTGCCCACTCCCTTGCCTCCTTCAAGACCCATCTCAAGAATCTCCTCTTCAGTCGTGCCTTTGGTCACCCTCCCCGCCTGCACCCCACCATACCCGACCTTCAGCTCAAGTCCGAAACTCTGTCTGTCCAGAGCCTTGGGACATCCGCCTGACATGCAAGGCGCTAGACAAATGTAATTTTGTTGTTGTTATATCAAATGCAAGGATTATTATTAATAATAAGGCACAGAGTAAGTTACCGAGTAAAGAGACTGAGGCCAGTTGCATCTGAGACTTCAAAACAAAGCAGGATCGGTTGGGGATATGGTGGGAAGGTGGTGTTGATATTGTCCAAACCAGGGCGGGACAAATGACCTTTTCCTGTTCCTGATATTTCCTGTGCTCCTGCTGTTCGTGTTGTGTCCTCTGGTATTTGTTTTCTGCACTGCCTCTGTTGGTTTTTTGAGTCACTTTGTCACTTTGCCTCAAACGTAAGTCCTGATAGATGGTGAGAGGTTTGGCTGAGGGTTTATGGCCGAGGGGGTGGGGAGGGGAAGGAAGGGGAGTCTGGGGGTGTGGAGAATTAATATGTGCATTGGGAATGTCAAAATGCCCTTGTCAACGACATAATAAGGCGCTATATCAAATGCAAGGATTATTATTATGATAACTGAGCTTGCTACCTCCTGCCAACCCGCTCATTGAGTCACTTATTTGAATGCGGCGCGAAAACAGCACAAAGCAGACAGGAAACAACAGCAAGAATAAGTAGCATTTAAGTGGTAACTCGTTAAAAATCTTGTGTGTGTTTTTTGAAAGAGAGAAGTGAATGGCACTGTAGGTGGGCAACACTGTCCCCTCGGCCCCTCCTTGACCTCAGCTCAAATCTACGTCCTCCATGGCTCCGCTTTTCATATGCCTATGACCACCTTCCCCCGGGCATCAATGAGCCACGTGTCTCCCAGTAATGAAATTGAAATAGAGCGAGAGATTGTCCTTTGGGGTCACAATGGATTCTTTTCTGCGGCGTAAGCCAAAGGCACATTCCAAAGCCACACACATAGACACACGCCCTATTGTCATGCAACCAGATCCATTTCTGTAAGCTATGGTGATGTGTCCTTCACCTCACTACAAGAGGAAGCTCCCTGCTGTGACCGCATCAAGCCGTGTATCTCTCTCTTTCTCTATCTCTATCTTATTGTTATACTAACACAGAGTGCATTCTTAGGCAGGTTCCCAGGTGGGGGCGAAACCTTGGGCAAATTTCTAGCGGGATGGGGAGGCGCTTAGAGAAATGATACTGGTTGCGTAACGATAGGCTGTGTGTCTATGTGCGTGTAGCAGTAAGTAGGAACATGGTTGTTAGTCAATTGTCGGATTGCTTTCCGGGAATAATAATCCCTCCCCCCCCACCCCCCCTCCCCTCCCGCCCCCCAAAAAAAGCATTTGGTCACTCAATCCATGACTGTTAGTGGGACATTGACTGCTGTACGCAGTGTATTCCTGCCCACAAACTACTCAGCCAATTCAAAATTCAATATATTCTGTGAAGCGCTTTGAGACATCTCAACGATGTGATGAGGCTCTCTATCAAATGCAAGGATTATTATATTATTATGTATTATTTTTGTTAGGGTGTTAAAGCCTATCTGAATGCTGGTGTTTTTGTGGTGGGTCAGTGGCTCCTTCTGCGCTATGGTAGCTCTGAATCGTATCTCATGTGCCACGTGAGCTGGTAGGAATTCCTGTTGGAATTATTCGCAGCAAAGTTGATAAGGTTTCCCACTCCATCACCATCGGCGCTGAACAACAACAACTTGCACTCGTATAGCACCCTCCGCACAGGGGAGCGTCTCTGAGAGCTTCAGAATTTGGAGCAAAACTGCGGCAAGGCACAGAGGCACAAAGAGCGGGGAGTGGAAGAGGTGGCTTTGATCTCTACCGCCGCTCGTATCTGCCAGTCATGATGAGTCTGGTGCGTTCTCAGTGAGGCAAGCCTGAGCCCAGGCCGTGGAGAGATATAATACTCCCATTGTCCTCTCGCCAGTAGCTTTGCCACTCATCCTTGTTGTTGTTGTCCGAAGAGCATGGGGCTGTTTGTATCCTCCACCCATCCATCCACCCAGTTAAAGGGATGTTCTCCACGGAGACAAGCGCCAACTTTATAATGAAAGATCAGAAAATAAGGCAGTGAAAGTGACATTTGACGAAGGAAATACTCCTGGAGTTATTATTAATAATAGTCTGTGAATTGATATAGTGCCCAATCAGGTCGTTCAAACATGTCAAAGCATGAATTAGGTGTACTTTTAAAAGTAAGAGCCAAGGTTTGGGGATATCCAGAGTATGATGGTGAGGCCCTAATGGAATTTAACCAGCAAAAAAGGCACATAAAGTGTTCTCAATGGGCAAGCAGTTTTAACTGGTTTTACCCCCAACATCTTGGCTCTGTGCCAAATCCTCTCCAGGATAAGATAACCAGGGTGCGTCCCTCAAGGGCATTTGATTCCAGACACAGGAACGTTTAGGTGGTTTACATACCCGGAACCCTCAGTCTGGTTTGGAAACTCTTTAAGCACAGCGACGGGTTTCCGTGTGTGTCATAGCATTCGGTTGACCGAAAAAGCATCTAAGATTTTCTTTCGATTTGCAACACGCACGTTTGACACTTGCATTCCGTTACGACTTGCATTTGTTTTATGTACACAGTCTACTGAGACTTTCTTGGGCTCTTCGAACCATTAACCGTTAAAAGAGCTACTGAAATTCTAATTCACACGGATGCAAAACCCAGATTTAATTGCTCACTGGTGGACTGTTTATGCCGTTCTTTCATTACTTCCTAATTGCTTTACTTAACGGTTCAAGCGGAGAGACAGAGAATTGATTCCAGCTCCACATTTTTTTACTCCAACATCATTGTGTATCAGAATGTGTGGGAATGTCTGAGCAAATGACTGGGATCCAAGCCAGGGTAATGGCTGAACTAACAGTGCTGAACTCTTAACATGGGAGGGGAAAAGGTGGGGGAAGAGGGAGGAATGAGACATTCATTTTAGCGTATGGCAAAATGTATCAATGTTGTGTTTTGACCATAGGAAAATGACAAGATTGTAAATCATCTGAGATTCTCACTGTGTGTGTCACAGGCCCCAGAGATGTGGGTCAGATTAACTTTCTGTTCCTTGCAATTGGGTCAGAATATCCTCTTTACTGTTGTAGATCAATCGATCAATCAATCAATCAGTCAATCAGTCAATCACCAAATAATGCCTGGTATTAGCCAGCGATTTGTCACCTCAAAGCACCTCACGCAGTTCCTAAGTGATCGTTGTGTAGGCAGACACGGCAGCTGGTACGTGCCAGCAATGTCCCACAGGATGGAATGAGATGAATAAGTAAATGGGGCGAGTTTGGCGGGTGAGCTGGAGTGGTGGTTAATTTGGGAGCGAGGCTTTAGCCAGCAATTGGGCAGAGACTGAGACTTGAGCCAAGTGTCGAGGGATGTGAAAACGCCTGAGCAGGAGCTTGGTTTTAGTGTCTCATCCGAAGGACGTCCCCCCCTCGCTCTCTCTGTGCCAGGTTTATGAGTTCCCCTCCTGGTTTGCTGTGTGCTGATCCCGAGGCCGCCTGCGACCCGCTGAGCTTAAGGGAATGTCTATCATTTGCTTCCTTTGAGTTATTTTGGTCCCGAAGCAAACTTTGTGCGCTCATGTATGCAGTTGGGCAGCTGTGTATGCATGTTTGTGACAGTGCATTTTGTGTGTACAATAATAATAATCCTAGCATTTATGAGTGTATTCTGTGTTTGTGAGAGTGTGTGTATATCATGTGTTTGTGTGCATGCGTGCACACGCATTCTCGGTGTGTATATTATGTGTAGGAATTGTGTGTGTACGTGTGTGTGTGTGTGTGTGTGTGTGCACCAGCATTCTCTGTGTGTATGAATTATGTGTGGGAATTGTGTGTGTGTGTGTGCGTGTGCATTCTCTGTGTACATGGATTTATCTGCCGAACGTTGCATCAAAAAGTCACCCTTTGCTCCGAGCCGGGATTGGGATGTGTGGCTCCTTGCGGCCGGAGTGCAAGGCGGCTGCCATTTTGTGTCCCGTGACCTTTTTCTTGTTCCCTCTCCTCCCCCCACCACCCCACCACCCCCCACCCCCACCCAGAGCACCCTGAAGAAAAGAAGTGGGCGAGTCTCCAACAAAGCGGAAAAGAAAGCCACCCTCCAGGTAACCGAACGCGACGCTCGACATCAACACAGCCGCCCCCCACCACCCCCGCCCAGCGCTGCCCTCCAAAAAAATACAAATAAATGAATCAGAATAATAATTTGGGTCACTTCAATCCACCGCTGTTTGTGGGGACGCTGCTGTGAGCAGTCGGCTCCCGCGTTTCGTCCACGAAATGTACATTCAGTTCGCTTTACAGTATATTCTGTGAAGGGCTTCGAGACGCTTCGATGACGCGATAAGGCGGTGTATCAAAAATGCAAGGATTATTAGCTTTATGCGAGGAACCAACTGCCCCTCGCGCTCTGGGAAACACGTGCCCGGCGTGGCCATCCTTGAATTGCTTTAGCCCGTTGTTCTTGTCGTTGCTGTCGTTGCTTCAGTCAAAGCGCGCAGTTGCGGCCTCAGTGATCGGGCAGCGAGCAAGCGGGTCTCTACGGTGCTGCCCTCCCCCGCCCCCCCCTTCCATCACCCCACGCTCAAACCCAACTAACCCCCGTTTGCCCGGCTTTCAGGAGGACAGCGCTGATCTGAAATGCCAGCTGCACTTTGCCAAGGAAGAGGGCGCCGTCATGTGCAAGAAGCTGACCAGGCTGGTGAAGGAGAACGAGAGCATGAGGGAGGACCTAGCCAAGTACAGCTCACTCTACGGCGACCTGGACGTCGGGGTCTCACTGGGGGACATCGCGGAGTCTCCCCACGCCAGGGAAGCCGAGTTCAAACACCATCTGCGGCTGGTGGAGGAGGAGGCTAACATCCTGAGCAAGAGGATCGTGGAGATGGAGGTGGAGAACAGGGGACTGAGGGCAGAGATGGACGAGGCGAAGGGGGGCTGCGAGAAGGAGCATTGCGAGCAGGACGTCCGGCCGGGCGTGGGCGAGTTCGGGGAGAGCGTGGGCGAGCTCAGCCGTCACCTCCAGTTCGTGGAGGAGGAAGCCGAGCTGCTCAGGCGCTCGCTGGTGGAGATGGAGGAGCAGAACAAGCACCTGATGAACGAGCTGAACGGGTGCAAGTCACAGCCTGCCAGGGGGAGGCCATGGCGGGCAGGGCAGGAGGCGGCTGCTGCCCGGCTCCGCTCGAGGCCTCCCGCGAGGAGCTCGTGGTGGCCAGGCACCAGCTCAGCGAACTCCACGGCAAGGTCAAGAAGCTGGAGTACGAGAACCGGGTGCTGGTGTCTCACCTCCAGCGCTACGACCTGGCCTCCGAGCAGTGCCAGAAATGCTCGCGGGACTACGACACCGAGGTCAGCGACTCAGGAGAGTTCTCCTTGCTCTCCGAGCCGGCCAGGAGGGAGGTGCCAATCGGAGGGGAGAACGACCCCAGGGAAAGCCAGGAGAGGATGTCCGGCAGCGGCAGCAGCAGGGTGGCCGAGGCCGAAGACGAGGATGACGGGGACGAGGGGAGAGGAGGAGCGAGGTTCCTGGGCGCCAAGGACATCCAGACTCTGTTGGGTATCAAAGAGCAAACCGGCCTGGTGTGCGGTGTCATCGATCTCCTCATCGCAGACACCAACAGCTTGAGTTCTGGTGGCGAGCACTGCCGGCCCAGCGACCCGGTGTGCCAGGCTGCCGGCGACGAGGGGCTCCAGGACGGAGACGGCGATTTGCTGGGCGCGGTGAACTCCAGGCTGCGCGACCTGAAGGCCGAGCTGACGTCCATCACCGAGAAAATCAGCCGCCTCGGCGAGGGTCTCGGGGAACAAGGGGAAAGTTTGTCTCCTTTACCGGCCCTGACCGAGTCGGCCAGCTTCCTCTCCACCATGACCTCCATTTCTCAGGATTCACCGGAGGATCCTGGGGGAAAAGGGTTTGGCAACGATTTTATGGTAAGGCAATCCCTATCCTCTCTCTCTCTCTCTCCTTCCTCACACCCACACCCCCACCTCCCAGATCCGTATTGCAATGCCTTCCTGATTGTTCCTAAAGAACAGTGGAACATAAAGAGCAATAACATATAACTTGCCGTACTATGTTAAGGATGATGTTAGCGGGAGTTGGATGGAGGAGGTGGGAGTTGGGAGATGGGGGGGGGGGGGGTTTGAGGAAGGCTAACGACTCATTGCATGAAACCAACGCTTTGTATCATGATAGAGCTTTGTACCAATTACACAGTGTGCAGTGTGTGAAATCGCGGGTGTGAACAGGAAGGGGAATTGATAGATTTCCACTGAAGTTCCATGTAACATGGATGGTTTTGTGTAGCAATGTGATAATATAAGGGAGCAGTGTTATGTGGGACGTTGCTGTGCACGATTGGCTGCCGCGTTTTGCCCACAAAATACATAGTCAATTCACTTTGCAGTGTATCCTGTGAAACGCTTTGAGACGATCCATGATGTGATAAGATGCTGTATCAAACACAAGGATTGTTACTATTATTCCCTCAAAAGCAGCGGAAAAGTTTTGATATTTTGCTTTAATTTCATTCAATTTGAATTTTGTTTGCTAAGCGTTGAATTTGTTTCAGAGCTAAGTTGAGCTTGAGATCCCAGTCCATCGAACACGGTCGCTTCAGAACAGAAAGTGTAGTGTGTTGAGACCTTAATTCCACCTGGCCTCAGACTTGCTTTCTCTTAAAAATACAAAGATCGCTGTGGAGTTGCGCTAAAATTCTTCAGGAACGTCTTAACTTTGGAAGCCCGTTTCTTTTTGAGAAAGTGCAGAGGGGGACGGGTGGGGCTTGGGGAGAGGGCAACGGCTTCCAAATGAAGTCTGATTTTAAGGATTACCTGCAACTCCACACAACCTTACATTTAAGGACAAAGAAGGGTTTTACAGGTTATAGTAATAATAATAATAATCATTGCTTCTGATACAGCTAGCGTCTTTCACATCGGGAGGACGTCTTTCAGAGCGCTTTTGCTGTACGGTGTAAAGACTGTGTATTTTTGTAAATTAAGACTAAATGCACGAACCTTCGAGTTTGACTTTTGGATTCTCTGGAATTGTGACGTGAATCAGAGTCACTCTGGAAGTGGAGATTGGTGTGGAGACAAGCCAGTGTGGGATAGCTGTCATCTGATTAGGGCTAATCATTCAGTCAATCTCCCCCCTTCTCTCCCATCTCTCTCTCTCTCTCTCTCTCTCTCACTTTACAACACTCCCCCCACCCCCTTAATAAAACACTCAGAACACACTAGTTTAAATGCACCTGTCCTAAAACCATGTCTTTTATCACGCAAAAAAAACATGATTTTGCAAAACCATTATCCATTCAGGGCAAAACCTAAGCAATCGTATTTATAATTGTTTCCTCAACGAACTCAAAAAAAATCCTTTTTCGTTGAAAATAACGTAATTTGCTATTCTTTGGAGGAAGTGTCTTTTGGGTGTTTTTTTTGCTCCACCTTAGGGCAACAATTAGACTTCAGCCTACTTAATCTGGGATAAAAAATTCTGGCCAAAAAAAACACAAATATAGGGTTTGGCGCATTCTTAATCACCGCTTTAGTTTTGAAGCCAGTTTTCGGCTGGTTTTCCTCTAAGAAATTTCAGAAAAACAGCTTCAGTATTAGGACTGAATTCGGCAATTTAGCAAATTCTGAACACTCTGAAAAGCTGCGTAAATCAAGCCAATGATTGTTCACTGGGAGTTGGAGGGAAAGTGTCCCAATGGGAGGTGTTTCAGCGCCTTGGGACGTCCTCCCGACATGAAAGGCGCTATACAAATGTAATCTTGTTGTTGTTGTTGTGTACAAGAGAGCAAGCACATTAATGTAGAAAGATTTGGCTGGATCACGTACAAACTTGCATTTATTTAACGTCTTTCACATCGGATAACATCTTGGAACGCTTTGCAAAGACGGAGGGAAAGGGTCAGAGGACGGACACCTCAGACATAATAATAATAATAATAATAAAAATAATCCTTGCATTTTATATAGCGCCTTATCATGTCTTTGAGACGTCTCAAAGCGCTTCACAGAACATGCTGTAAAGTGAATTACAGCGTCCCACAAACAGTCGTGGATTGAGTGTCCAATTTTTTTATTAAGGGATTATTAAATGGATAATGGTTTGGTTTAGGACCACGTAACACATAGGGCAGATATTTCCTCAAGTTCACCCACACCTCAATTGACCCAGAGTTCTATCACCCGCATGTTGCTGGTTTAATCAATCGCTGTACCCATCCACTGCATGCACACCTTAACTGGTGTCAGCACACCTTTTTTTCCTCTCTTTCTTCTCTGTTTTTTTTTCTTTCCCCCACCCCACGCACCCCTTCCCATCACACCAAACCCCAATCCTCTCCCCCCGCCCCATCCCCTCCAAAAAAACACATTCAGCCCATGATTTTTCTCAGCGTCTGTTTGATTTTGGTTCGGACACTCTCATTAACCACCGTAACACAGTTGTTTTTCCTTTTCATACTTTTCTGTGTCTTGTAGTTTATTCAATGTTTACGATATCCATTTCTTTTTTTGTTTCTTTGTCTCTTTCCCCCTTTCTGTCCTTTGTTTTTTTTATTCCTTTTGTTTCCATTGAACCTGCCCATGCATGTAGCAGCCTGACTTTAGGGACACTGGTGATTGGCAGCACAGTGCATCCCCAACCCCAGAGATCTGCATCATCAGTGCTGACACAGACGAAGGCAAGGAATACACCAAGGAGTACAGGAACTTCAGGCACGAGGAAAGTGACTCCTACGCTTCTGAGGTAAAATCTTAGACCTAATGCTCTTCCTCAGCCTGGCTCAGGTGCGCTCTGTTCTCTCCCCTGGATTTGAACAGATCCCAGACTTATAATAATAATAATCCTCGCATTTGATAATACATAATAATAATCATTGTATTTGATATAATAATATATTATGATAATAATAATAATAATAAGCCTTGCATTTGATATGGCGCCTTATCACGTCTTCGAGACATCTCAAAGAGCTTCACAGGATACACTGTAAAGTGAATTGACCGTATTTTGTGGGTGAAACTCAGCAGTCAATCCCACAGACCCACAGCAGTGTCCCACAAACAGTCGTGGATTGAGTGACCAAATAATTTTTATTTATTTTGAAGGAATTATTACCCCCGGAAAAGTGATCCGCCAATCGATTAACCACCGGGTTCCTACACACTGCTGGGTAAACAGAGGCGTGTGGAGTAAGGAAACTTGCCCAACGTTTCAAACCCAGGCCCTCTCACTTGCAAGGCGAGTGCTCTAACGACTAAGCTACAGGGCTCCAATAGCACCTTATCACGTTGTTGAGACGTCTCAAAGCACTTCACAGATTTTATTGCAAAATGGATTGACCGTGCATTTTGTGGGCAAAACGTGGCAGTCAATTGCGCACAACAGTGTCACACAAAGTCGTGGATTGAGCGACCAAATTATATTTTGGAGGGGAGGGACTATTATCCCCGGAAACCAATCAACTTAATGATCGAGTTGCTGCTTACTGCTAAGTGTGGAATAAGGAAACTTACATAGAATTTCACTCTGCCCGGGAATCGAACCCAGGTCCTCTCGTTTGCGAGGCGAGCGCGCTAAGCACCTCACTACAGGACTCCACGAATAGATTGGGGGGAATTTCGGTGCCAGGTGCTTTTGAGTCTTCGAGTGACTCGTGCTGTGTCGCTCCTTATTTGAGCAGGTCAAAGAGCTGCAGCTGGATCTGTCTGAAGCCAAGGACACGATCCGGGGTCTGCAGGAGCAGCTCGTTCAGGAGAGGGAGCTTCGGAGCGAAGAGGCAGAGAGGTTCTGCCAAAAAGTATCACAGGTCGGTGCATTTTAAACAACTGAGAACACTTGTTCTTCGATATAAATCGATGAAAGGTATATGTAGCAACACCCATTGCATGTATGTGTGTGGGGTGGTGGGGGGTTCCAGACTTTCCCCCTTGATGTCCCATCGACCGACCCTCATCCTCCTCTCGGCAGATTAAAGAGGAACACCAGAAGGCATTGGTGAGGAGAGATTTCCAGCTGCAGAGCTTGAATCTTCAGACCAGACTTGAGCAGAAGTTCTGGAGCCAGGAGAAAAATCTGTTTGTGAAGGAAGTGGATCAATTCAGGCAGAATCTCTTCTTGCTCTACATGAAACTCAAGTGGTTCCTCAAGCACTGGAAATACGGCGAGAAGATAGACAGCGAGGGAGATGATTTGCTGGAGGTGCAGGATTTGAAACATTTATCTACCTGTCTATCTGTCTTTTTAGCTGTCTGTTGGTCTATCTATCTATCTATCTATCTATCTGGGGCCCACAAGCCTTGGCTCTTGCCAACCTGCGCCTAATACTTTCCAGAATTAAGTAGGCAGGATGCATCCCTCCATGGAGAGAGTGTGCATTCTATTCCAATAAATATCACTGATATTTCCATGTGTAAGTGGGATGCCTGGAACTCTACTTGGTTTGGATATTCTTAGACATGATGCAGGGTTTCCACATGTGTCAGACACCCGGCTGACCAAAACAAATCTTTCATTTTTCCTTTCTTTTTTCCACGATTTTAGCCAGAATTCAGTCCTTAAGCTCTGAAGCCAGTTTTCTGTAGATCTCAAGAGAAATGTACAGGTGTGGGGGAGGGGGAAACGTCTTCAAAGTTAAGGCCGCTTTAAGAATTTGCCAAATTCTGTTCGCCTCTGAAATGCTCTTTACGTTGACTAAATCTACCCCTTTCACCCCTTAATTCACTGCATGGATTTCTATCCAATAAATTCTGATGTCCGCCTGTTCAAGTGGATGTAAAAGGTCCCATCGCACTATTTGAAAAGAGATGGGAGTTTCTCCCTTTGTCCTGGCTGATAATCCCCCACCCGTCACCAGATAAAGCTGGCCACTCACTGCATGGCTGTGCACAAATTAGCTGCCTACAAATACACAGTCACTACATTTTTACGGTGGTTGACATCAGCATGTGTTAGGGCTGTTACGGTCATTGAGGAAGGATCCAGTTAGCCAAGCAATGCAATGTGCTTCGCAGGTCAACAGCTTGAAAGACTTGTACTTGCTGATTGAGGAGGAGGAACTGAGTCCACGCCAGGTGGACAACAAGGCAGTGACAGCAGAGGATCAACCCTTGAAAACCTTCGAGGAGGGTTTGACTATCCCAGTGGAGAAATTCTGCGTTCCGACGTCAACTCGAAAGCAGGTAGGCACAGTGAGGCGCCATACTTTGGGTGAGAGGTTAAACCAAGAACCCCATTTGTGCCCATATTGCGCCCAGTAGTGAAGGAAGCTATATAAATGCAAGTTGTTGTTGTTTGCCGAGCGGGAGTAATTCTCCTTTTTATCCTCCACAGTCGAGCGAATACAGCGGAGTGGTGGGAGACATTAAGGGGATCTTGAAGGAGCTTTGCCGAGAGTTAACAGAGGAGAGGAGGCGATCAAAAGAGCTTCAGCTGCAGTTTGCAAATGCCAAGTCAGCCTGGGAGATAGAAAAGGCAGAACTCAAGTGTCGCACGGCACAGGTAAGCAACAACATCGACATTGCATAGTCTTGAAAATTAGCCGCCCCGTTCACTTACAGTCGCTAGCCTTCAGAGTAACTTTGCAAAAGGCTTTGAGACATTCTCAACCTTGCAGGCACTATATAAAATGCAACGATTGTTATTATCAATAATAATCATAGTCCTTGCGTTTGATATAGCACCTTATCACGTCGCGAAGACATCACCAAGCGCTTGACAGGATATACTGCAAAGTGTATTTTGTGGGCGAAACGTGGAAGCCAGTTGCACACAGCAATGTCCCACAAAAAGCTATGGAGTGAGGGACCGATTTTATTTTGGGGGACTTTTGGCTAAGACACTGGGGAAAACTCCCATCTCTTTTTGAATAGTGCCACGGAATTATTATTATTATTAATAATAATAATAATTTCTCACAACGTTGAAATAAATGACAGGGCGACCTGGGTGATTCTCCTCTTTAGCCTGAGCAGTTTTCTCTATCAGAGCGTCTGACAAAGTAAGAGTTAAAACGGCCTCAGGTGAGGTATGTGGGATACGAGTGGGATAGTTTGGTCACCACTTTGCCTTGTCTCGCAGGCTTTATCTCCAGTCTTGTCCCATCTTTGCGAGGAGCGATGTATTATTTCTTTCTTGTGTGAAATTGCCATCGAAACAGATGGATTAAGGCGAGGTGGCTCATTTCAACAACAACTGGCATTTACGTAGCACCCTTCATGTGGGGTAAAGTCTCAGAGCTCTTAACAGCGGTGCAGTTTGACACCGAGTCAAAGGAGAGAAAGGGGAGATGATAATAAGCACGGTTGAATAGGAAGGTCTTCAGGTGCAATCTGAAGACGGTCGAAGAGTGGGGGGTGGGGGCAAGACAGAGGAAGGTTCGAGAGCTTTCAAGGCAGCGTTGATGAGTTCGTAGCATGACTTTTAAGATTTTCTTCGAGGGACTTTCATTGCTGCTGAAGGAACTGTTTGGAAGAGGAACAGTCGAGACCATTATTCATGTCTGCAACCCTATTTTCCCCTCCCCCTCTCTTCCTCCCTCCCTCCCTCCCTTCCTCGCTCCTCGACTCCAGTGAGTGAGTTGTGATTTGCAGGCAAATACAGTACTGCATGCAGTTGCGGGCTGATGTAACTAAGCTGTGCTATTACAAGCACTTAGCCCTGCTGACCACAGCTTCCTTCACTGAGCTGATGTAAGCGTGCAGCTGTGTGCATCAATCCTGGGAATACAAGCGCTGTGATTCAGAAGGGAGATTTTTTGTAACCAGTTTTGCTTCCTGCCTTATGTTAACTGTGGGCGGAGGGGGGGGTGGAGCGAGGGAATTGTACCGCAAGGAGATTGTCGTGCTTTTTTTTACACACAGAAAGAAACTCACAGTACGTTGACTGTCAGAGGTTTGACTATCAACGGTACATTTAAACTTAAGTGAAATGAAATGAAAATTAAGTGTAGTAAATTTAAACATCACTCTGGTTTAGGGGTACTTGGGGTTGGGGGGAACATTGCCTTTCGGATGAGATGTTGAACCCCGTTTGCCGCTTCAAGTGGGGGTTAAAGATGCCATGACATCATTTGAAAAGAGAAGGGAATTTATCTCGGTGTCCTGGCCAACAATCCGCCCCTAGATACAATTGGTCACTCACTTCACAGACATCAATCATTGTGCCCAACATCTCACCGCATCTTTGCCTCAAAGATTACTGCAGTACGTCTTAACGTGGTTTTTACGGGTGAAACTTGGGACCTCCAAATTGGGACCATATCGAAGAATTTCTCCCCCACCCACCTTTTGGGCGATCTTAAATTTTGACAGCCCCAAAAAAATAGATCTTAAAATCTTCCACTGGGTGGAATTTCAGACCTTTCCGGAATGTAGAATTCCGTGGAAAGGTAACTTGAGACAAACACAAATCCCGAGTCAATGGGGAACAAATGGCACCGGACAGATGTGGCTAAATCCATATGCTAAGCTTTTTGGAGGATGGGGAAGAGACTGGGGGGAGGGGATTAATGAACGTCAGGCTAGTTTTATTTCTTCTGAGTAACATCTTGGAGCAACTCTTTTGACCCCAAAGCAGGAGGCGAATACATGATTTGATTGGGGAAATCGTGTCCCTGGGAAATCAGAATAGGCATAGAGGGTTTCAGCGCTCTGAGACGCGAGCCCACATTGAGAGCAAATACAAGTTGTTGTAAGGATATGCCTACAAAGTACACACTCACTACATTTCACAGTAAATCCTGTGAAGGTCTTTGATACCGTTGATACGTATTGATAATAATTATTGCTGTTTTCATTCATATTAATGATACTTAATAATATCGTATTGATATTAGTGGTCTTATTGATACTTAGTGATGACAGTAATAATAATTATCTGGATTTTATTGACATTATTATTTGTATTACAGTAAATTACTGATAATTCGATTCTGGCTTAACTTGTCACTTCCAACTAGTCACCATCTGTCAATATCCCAGAGTATTTATTTATGTATTTATACACGTCCCTATGACTCGCCACTCCGGATAACTTGTCACTGAGCTCTTTTCCAGTGCAGTGATAATTTATCGGGAGTTTCCTGTATTAATATTATTATAATAACAACAACAACTTGCATTTATATAGAGCCCCTCACGGACAGAGTAGGAATAACAATCCTTGCATTTGATATAACGCCTCGTGACGTCGTTGAGACATCTCAAAGCGCTTCACAGAATATACTGTCAAGTGACTTTATTATGTGGACATCTTTCAGCTACTGGACGGCCGTACAGGAAAGCTGCCCTCGGACAAGGTTCCGAGCGACCTGAAAAGTGCCCTGAAACGGGAGAGAGAGGAGCATCAGCAGCTGCTGGCGGAGTCGTACAGCGCGGTCATGGAGCTCACACGGCAGCTGCAGGTCAGCGAGAAGAACTGGAAGCAGGAGAAGCTGGAGCTGCTGGACAGGTTCAAGGCCGAGCAGAGGCTGTGCGAGCAGCGGCTGAAGGAGATGCAGAATAAGATCAATCAGGTGAGTAGGGTAGGGGAGGGTAGATCGGTACGGCGTGACTGAAACCAGCCCATCACCTCGCCGCTGAGAGTGAAACCTGCTGCCCCTTGCGTTAGGGTTAACAGCACGTCTGGTTGGGTTGGGTTCGATCAGAGCACCCTCGCCTCCACGGCAGAACCAGAGAATTGCACAGCACAGAAGGAGGCCATTCGGCCCGTCGTGTCTCTTTGAAAAGAGCTATCCAATTCAATCCCCCCGCCCCCCGCTCTCTCCCCATAGCCCTGCAAACTCGTCCTCCCCAAATAATTATCCACTTCTCTCTTAAAAGTTGTTATCGAATCGGCTTACACCGCCCTTTCAGGCCACGCGTTCCAGAAGGTTGCAAGTTCTGGCTGTTGTGCGTTGGACATGGCGCTGGAGTTTTGAAAGATAAAGCGGAGACCCGTTATAACAGGGTGGAAGGCGGGGAGAGTCCCAAGCAACCGGCGTTGTAACCGTGTGCGATCGCCAGTCAGTTCTTCCGCGTTCACTGCCTGTGCACGCAGCGGACCGCCCGCCCGGCTTCCAGCACAAAAAATGCCCGACTTCCGGATCACTGGATCAGTGCCGAGGTCACTTCCTGCTCACTAGCGAAAGCAGGAGCCATTTTGCCACACAGCAAGGTCCGCCCGGTAGGCTTTATGTTTCACTGTTGGCTTCTCCTGCGCAGACACTACATCACAGCGAGGACGAGAAGGAGGCTTCTCACAACCTAGAGGTGAAAGGGACTAACTTGCAAAGGTAAGACTCATCCCCTGCTCTGTCAGCGCAGTGCAGTGTCCCCCGTGGCGTACGATTCAATCCAATATGGCAGCCATCGGAGGCTACAGGTGGCAAACTCAACTTCCAAGGAAGTGATTATACAATGCAGTATTACATTTGTATAGCGCCTTTCACGTCGGGAGGACGTCCCAAGGCGCTGGACAGTCAGGGATTTGGACCTGAGCAGAGGGGTTGGGATCGGGGAGGGTGGAGGCCAGGGAGGGTATCAAATCATTGTAAATAATAATAATAATAATAACCCTTGCATTTGATATAGCGCTTTTCACGTCGGGAGGACGTCCCAAAGCGCTTCACAGAACACACTGTAGAGTGAATTGACTGTATATTTGTGGGCGAACGCGGCAGCCAATTGCGCACAGCAATGTCCCACAAACAGTCGTAGGTTGAAAATGACCAATTTATTATTGTTTTGGGTTTTGGAGGGATTATTATTAGGCTCTGTGTGGAGTAAGGAAACTTGCCCAAGGTTTGGCCCTCTGCCTGGAATTGAACTCAGGTCTCTCTCACTTGCAAAGCGAGTGCTCTAACCACTGAGCTACAGGACTCCACGGGTAGCGGGTTGGGGGGGGGTGGAGTGAGCAGGTCGGAAAGGTAGTGAGGTGTCAGGGCACGAAGGGATTTGAAGACGAGTGTGAGGATCTTGAAATCGATCCGTTCGGTGATGGGGAGCCAGTGGAGCCCGGCGAGGGCTGGGGTGATGGGGAGATGGAGTTTAGCGAGGGGGAGTATGCGGGCAGCGGAACTTTGGATCAGTTGGATCTTGTGCGTGGTGCAGCTGGGGGGTGGGAGAGGGGGAGACTGTGGGTCGGGCTGTGGAGGGTTAGTGGCACAAAGCAAGGGTTTGTTTCACAAGGCTTCATTGGCGGTGGTAGTAGGGGGGGGTGTTGGGTGGGAGCGGAGCGCGGGGCTGAGCGAAAGTTCCAGTCAGCCGGAGAGCCACAGAGCTCAAGTCCGGCTGCTTCCCGAGGAAATGAACTCATCCGACTCTCCTCACCACGGCAACCCCCCAAACAGCTCCATCCACACAGCGCCAACGGTTACTTCCTGTTATTTCGTCGAAAAGGATTGAAAAATCCGATCTGTTTTTGTTTAAAAATTCCGTCAACTTTATTTGAGGCGGGCGGGGGGGGGGAAAGGAAAGGAAAGGAAAAAAAAAAAGCACACACACGTGTTCACTGCCAGCAAAAACATTCAACCAAAAGAAAAGCGAGCGAGAGAAGTGGGTTGCTCTCTTTCTATAGATTCCATTGTGCTTATTGCAGTAATGTTCTTTCAGTACCAGACGTGCCGTTTGCGACAATAATGGACCTTTGCTTCTCGGCCGTTTGCGGGGGAGTGGCTGTGCTCAAATCGGCTGTCCCGTTCCCCCTGCGCAGAACGCACAGTCACTACGCCTGATCTCGACGACGCTAATTCAAACGCAAGGACTATTAGTTGTGCTACTGTTGGTGATAATTCGATCGCTCAATCCGCGACTGTCTGTGGGCACGCGGCTGTGCGCCATTGGCTGCCGCGTTTCGCCCACGAAAATACGCAGTCACTCCACTTTAAGGTATATTCCGTGAAGCGCTTTGAGACGCCTCGAAGCCGGGATAAGGCCCTCTGTCAATTGCAAGGATTGTGACGATTATTATATTATTCCCTCAGACCAATTAATGTGGAGGCATTAATGAATCAGTGACTCTCGCTGTGCTGTTGCTGACAGACGGCCTCAGTGTGTGTGGGTTCAGCTGCCGTTCCCTCGCTGCGCAGACAGGAACGACACAGCTCCTGAGAGCTCAGCCGCTCGGTTGCTGTGGAAATGCATCCTGTTACTAAAGACGTTGGAAGCTGAAACCATCGAAAGCTGCTCCCACTTGGCATTGGGTACGACCTGGCTCTGCCCCTTAGCAGCACGTGCAAGGCACTCGCCAGGGCTAGTGGTGTTGGGGGGAGGGGGGTGGGTTCTCTCCCCCTCTCTCCTCTCCTTCCCCCCCTCTTAAGCCAGTCCACAACCCCCAAATGGGGCAAAATCCCCCCTTATGCAAAAGTCCTGCATGCGTAGTCTTGTGGTCTATAAGCTGCAGCTGGAGACAGGTTGTTCTCCCAAGAGAGGAGCATCCACCACCTTACTGTGGGTGAGACGTTGCCGTACGCAGCCCCTTTACGGGGGATGTAAGGATCGTTTTATTAGGTGGCTGGAAACGAACGCACCAAAACCTTGCACCGTTCTTTAAGAGTAGCATTTTCCGTACAAGAGAACAGGGCGAGCTGGTGAGGGGAAGGAATCAGGGCGCTGTCAGTGTGTGTGCGTGCGTGTGATTTATTACCTCGCACAGAATAAGGAACCAATAGACAATCCCATTTTTCCACATAAATTCGCGGGTGAAATATGACATTGCCAAAGCAACGTCTCAAACGCGTTTAAAAATGTTACCATATTGTAAACTGGATTGACTGTGTATTTTGTGGGTGGAACGCAGCAGCTACAAACAGTCGTGGATTGAGTGAGCACATTTTTTTTTTTGGAGGGATTATTACCACTGAGAAATGATCCGCCAATTGCCTAACAACTTACTGCTAGGCACACAGGCGTGTATGTATGTGTGTGTGGAGTAAGGAAACTTGCTTAAAGTTTCTCCCCGCCCGGGAATCAAAATCGAGTCGTCTGGCTTGTGACGAGGCGAGTGCTCTATTGACTGGAAAAATTGACTGGACTACAAAATGAGGCGGAAAATATTGGATTTCTTTTCTTGTTGTCAATGCTCGACTGATTCATCTCCACTGCTGTGCACAATTGGCTGCGGCGTTTTGCCCACAAAACACACAGTCACTACATTTTGCAGCGTATCTTACGAAGCGCTTTGAGACGTCTCAAAGTCGCGATAAGGCACTATGTCAAATGCAAGGATTACTATTTATTATTACATCTCTCTTGCTTTAATTTTGCGCACACCCACACGCGCACACGCGCACACACACACGATCAGCTCCCTGAAGTTATAAGGAGTACATAAAAACAGACTTGAGGTTGCAAGAGCCTCATCATTAATGTGTTAAACCGTAAGTCAGCCCAAATCAAAAGCAGCTTGAAAGTATAAAAATGCACATTTTTTTTGAACTGCGCCTTGTAAATCTATTCCTCCTGCTCTGCGGTCTGCCTCGCTTCCTTCTCTCCCAAGGAATAATCTAGTACTTATCATTATTAGAACTGAGACGGAGCAAAGCACGTTTGACCACCCCCACCCCCCCCCCACCCCCACCCCCACCCCCAACAGGAACTTGAGATGGAAAGCTGCTCAAAGCTTTTGGCAAGAAGATCTGGTGGGTGATGGGGACGGGGTGGTGGGGGTGGGGGGGGGAACGGGGGAGGGGGAACGGGGTGGGGGCGGTGATGGGATGAGAAGTCGCCATTGGAAGGAAGGGGTTAATAGACGAGAAAGTTGTCCTGTTCTCGTAGATCAGTCACGAGTACCCAGCCGCCTCGCTCTGTTGCCACAGCAACCTCCTCGCCCAGCTCAGTGATGAGAAAAGTGGCTGCATTTAGCACTCGCAGGTTGTTCGCTCGCCGACTGAGCTTTGTATATTTGCAACACAAGGTGATTTTTGTTGCCATGGTGAGCGATGGGATGGGGGGGTGGGGGGTGGGGGGTGGGGGGGGGTTGCGGGGGTGGGGGCGGGGGTGGGGGGGGTGGGGGAGGTGTGCCTGCTCGCAGGGCTGAGCCTGTTAACACACACACACACACGCACACGCACGCACGCGCACGGCTGTTGTTAATTTGTGAGCGCAGCAGGCACAGCCAAACACAAAGGTGTGAGGAGGGCCGGTCGGGGAATAATTTTGGAAGGCATTTCAATGGGAAGTGCTGTGCTCCTCAAAAGGCAATTTGTACAAGAGGCACGGATATGAAGCTGGTCTGTCCTTCCCCGAGGGCGGCTAAAATCTTGGGGGAGTGCTAGCAGATGTACAGGGGTGCTCACAATGTCCTGTTACCCCCATGTTTTTTTTCTCTACGGGTGCACTGACCAACAGCTGAAACACGTGGAAGAATGATGATGATTGCATTTAGAAGTACTTCATTATAATAATAATAATAATAATAATAATCCTTGCATTTGATATAGCATCGACATCTCAAAGCGCTTCACAGAATAGACTGTAAAGTGAATTGACTGTATATTTGTTGGCGAAACGCGGCAGCCAATTGCGCACAGCAGCGTCCTACGAACAGTCGTGGATTGAAAATGACCAATTTATTATTGTTTTGGAGGGATTATTATCGGGCTGTGTGTGGAGTAAGGAAACTTGCCCACGGTTTCGCCCTCTGCCTGGAATTGAACCCAGGTGTCTCGATTGCAAGGCGAGTGCTCTTACCACTGAGCTGCAGGACGCCACCTAATTGTATTAGGTACAAGTGTTTAGCCGTAATTAGACATCCAGCGGATTGGTGTGTGTTGCATCTGTGTGTGTGTTTTGTGTGTGTGTGTGCGCGTGTGTTGTGTTGTGTGTGCATGTGTGCGCGTGTCTGTGTGTGTGTGAGCGCCATCATTTTCATGGCAGATAATGATCCATCGCCACGTTAGGTGCCACATCATGGATGGTTTGAGTGACAAAGAAGTGACTGGTATCAGGCACTGTTACACTCGATGGCCCGCCTGCAACAGGAAATAAAAATGAATTGTAATTAAAAAAGGGGGGTAACAGGACTTTGTGAACACCCCTGTATACGTCGGACGTCAACAATATCAGCGGTCTTTCGAACCCCACCCCACTCTCTCTTTTGCCCTCTGTTCATGCCGCCCCCCCCCCCTCCCCTTCCCCCACGCCATTACCAGCTTGAATACACGCTCCCAAAACCAGAGCTTGCTCCCTATCACCATAACAACACACGTATGTAGTAAATGTCATCTGATCACATCACAGCAGCACTGTGAGCGGGAGCCATTTGCCCTGCACTTTGCTGTCTTCTAACAGCCCTTTGTGCAAGCTGCCTTTTGTACGAGATGCAAACACTTCCTATTCTCTTTTATTCTGCTATCTCATCCGAAACGCAACACCTCTGACAATGCACCTCTCACCTCTCCCTCCTCATTCGCATTCCACCCAACAACAACAAGATTACATTTGTACAGCGCCTTTCACGTCGGGAGGACGTTCCAAGGCACTGGACAGTGTACAGCATTTCAGACCTGAGCTGGGGTCATGGGGGGGGAGAAGGGAGGGGAGGGGAAGGGGGGTGGCCGATGGCATGGTCGAAGAGGAGGGTTTTGAGGCGGGACTTGAAAGAGGCGAAGGAGGGGGCGAGGCGGAGTGATTGGGGATGGAATTCCAGAGATTGGGGGCAGAGTGGCTGAAGGCTCTCCCGCCAATGGTGGGGCGGGGGACGTGGAGCAGGCCTCAGCCGGTTGAGAGGAGGGAACGGGCGGGTTGGTAGGGGGTTAGGAGGTCGCAGAGGTAGGGTGGGGCGAGGCCATGGAGGGCTTTGTATGTGAGGACCAGGATCTTGAACTGGATCCTCTGAAGAATAGGGAGCCAATGGAGTCGGGCGAGAGTGGGGGAGTTGGTGCGGGAGAGGACACGGGCTGCAGAGTTCTGGAGCTACTCTGGAGTCTCAACCTCGTTCACCTACGTGAGTTCAGTGGCCCGACGTGGCTCAAATGACGACAAGAGACCATTCGAAGCAAGCAAACGTCTTCGATACCTTTGCAAACACAAAGAGTTAATTATATTCCATTGCATCTGTTCTTAATTCAACCTGCAATAATAATAATAATAATAGTAATAATAATCCTTGCATTTGATACAGCGCCTTATCACATCTTCGAGACGTCTCAAAGCGCTTCACGGAATATTCTGTAAAGTGAATTGACTGCGTATTGTGCGAGCGAAACATGGCATCAGACAGTCAATCACTGCAAAAAAAAGCACCCATGAGTTAGCTGCAGGTGCAGCTACAGAGAGCTGCAAGGTCCGACATATCCACGCATTTTCAGGCACAGAAATCTGCTAGATTTGTGACCATGTAATTAACCGGCTGATCCGTTCTGGTCGCTCCAGCGCAGATTAATGGCAGCGTTTGCCCTGCGAGTGTACGTCGCTGACTCCACAGGAAGAAATCGCGCAGCAGTGAATTACGCCAGAGGATTTGCCGGCTCAAGAACAGTAACCAAATAGCCAAATTTTCTCCCACCCGAGGAGAACGGCCAGCGCTCACCGAGGAGGATTGTTAGCCAGGACGCAGGGAGAAACTCCCTTTTCTTTCCATGATAATCGGGTAAAAATTCCGTTCAGCATCACGCTCAGCATCTTTGTTAGCATGGCCACTAATGGGATTAACCCCCATCACCCCCATTCCTATTCTAGTTGATTATAATGACAGAATTTTTACCCCAGAATTTGTACAATTTCGCTCTGTGTCTGCCGGGCACTTACTTTCCATTCCACGGTGCGTAACGACAAGATCAACTTGCATTTGGCTTGCGACTGAAAGAGAGGGATAAATTCAAAACAAATCTGCGGAAAGATCATTTCAGCGAGCGAGCCGTAAACGTACGGAACAGGCTCTCCAGTGGGAAGGTGGAAGCAGAAAGTGTTGATTCTGTCAAAAAGCAAATGAGATAGATTTATTTTGGGGAATAATATCTTGGGATACAGGGAATAGTTTGAGACATGACATATGAATGTGACTGCCAGGATGGTGGAAGGTCAACCTCGGTCCGCCTTTGTCTAGCAATTCCAACGTATGTTCCATTTATACAGCGCCCTTCACGCCGTGTCGAGTCTCCGAGTGCTTAAGCGTGCATTTCCAAGGGTGGCTGAGAAATAGCACCGGATGTGATTAATGCATCGTATGAGTGAGCGACCTGCACACATATCCTGAGGCGTGAAATCAGCCGTCCCCTGATAACCCTGCAGGTTCCCGGCGATCTCTCCCGATTCCCATCACTTTGCGCCATTCGTCTCTGCCTGCAGTGAATTATTTACTCGTAGCTCTTGCCTTGAATAGTCTCCGCATTCAGCACTGCAGCCCACAAAAAAGCGTTGGCAATTTGCCAGCCATAAAGAGCACAATCTGGCGACGTCGCCCAGAAGCCAAAAAAAACCCAGAGCAATCAATCTGCGTCCAGACCATTGTTACTCAGAATATCCAGGTACCACACACTCTACCTGATATCAGAAGCAAAGCCATCTTCCCCTTCCCCGCCCCATCCCCCTCCTCCTCCCGGCTCAGTGTCTGGCTGTGTCCTCGTAAAGAGTGTGTGTCGCTTGAGTCAGAAGGTTGTGGGTTCGAGCCCCACCTTTGGGAATTTAAACTCACGTGGTCCAGGCTGACACCACTCCAATGCAGTGCTGGGAGGGGTGGGGGCCTGGGGGAGCACTGGATTGTCGGAGGTGACGTCCTTCGGATGAGATGTTATACCCAGGTCCTGCCTGCCTGTTCAGGTGGATGTTAAAGATCTTGTGGCATCGTTTCTCCCAGTATTCCTGGCCAACAATTGTCTCAGCTACAAGCGGATATTCCACCAAGGCTATTTGTGGGACATTATTAGCGCAAATTGTGCAGTAGCTTTCACCAGCGAATACAGTGCCGAGATGTTATGATAAAATCCTGTGAAGCACTTTGAGACGTCCTCCCGGGCTGAAAGACGCTGTTATCAACCGGAAGGATTATTATAACAGAGAAGTTAATTTTCAGAGGTGCTATCATTACCTCTTATTCCTCTGAGAAATAATAGCTCCCTTGATATCCTAAAACATTCCCAGGCAAATTCCCTTCTTGTTATTTCGGAAAATGATTCCCTTTTCTCCAGATCTTTCCCAGAAGGTTAGCGTGCGCCATGTGTAGACATAATCAGCTTCAGCGTCGCAAAGTCCCCGAATTGATATGTTAATTGATACTAATTTATTCGGCGTTGAATGCTCACTGGATGGAACGGCAAGAACACTTAGCACTCTGAAAGAGGAAGATAGATCAACTGAGCCCTGCCAAGCGATTGAGATCGAGCTCCCTCTCCCCCACCCTCTCCCCTCCGCCCCCCCCCCCACCCCCATGGAATGCAGAAACTAAGAGCCGATGCAGATTTGATGGGCCGAATGGCCTCCTTCTGTGCTGTAGATTTCTATGATTTGAAGGCGCTTTATTAAACGCAAGGATTATTGTTGTTATTTTTATAATTCCATTCCGTTTCTCTTTTCGCACTTGTGACGTGAGTTTGATGGCGTGTGGAATAACTCGATGCTGAAAGGAGACACTCGAAACCGAGGTTGATTTGGTGCTGCTCTGCAAAGATAAATCATCACCAAGCGATATACAATTATACGTGGCAATTATATTAATTATGATGATGGATATACAGCGCTCTGATCAGGCCACACCTGAAGCTGCTGCTCACAGTTTGGTCACTGCTATACAAGCGGTGATTTGACCCTTAAATCAACAGCAACAACAAATTGCATTGACGTAGCGCCTTTCACGTCAGGAGGACATCCCAATGAGCTGGAGAGTCAGGGATTTGGAGCCGAGCAGAGGGATTGGGATCAGGAGTGTTGGAGGGTAGGGGTAGGAGGGCGATCGAAGGCACGGTTGAAGAGGCGGATCTTGAGACATGCCTTGAAGGAGGCAAGGGAGAGAATGAGGCGAAGAGACTGTGGGATGGAGTTCCAAAGGGTGGAGGCAGAGAAGCTGAAGGCCCGACCTCCCATAGTGGCTCAAATCACATCTGAGCACAGATCACCTTTAAAACCTGCTACTGGGGGAGAGGTGAAGTCCAGCCTCGTCACAGTCTAACTGTTTGCCTGAACGTGCCAGCTCACATATTAATTATTTCTGCTGCTCGCTCTCGCTCTCTCGCTCTCTCGCTCTCTCGCTCTCTCGCTCTCTCGCTCTCTCTCTCTCTCTCAGCTGCGAGATGCTTGTTGCCAGGGCGATAGCACTCGTTCGTCTCCTAGGAAACGGTGAGATATGTCTTCATCCCAGATCTCAGGAGAGAAGGTATTTTTTTGGATAAATGTACAACAACAACAACAACGTGCATTTAGATAACGCCCCTCCCATGGGGGTAGCGTCTCAGAGGTACATTTAGCCCCCTTTTCCTTTCTCCCCCACCTCCACCCCCTCCCCGACAGATAAAGACTTTGATAAAACGGTTAAGCGCCCACTGCATGACCTTAGGGTAATTTCAGTCCAGTGGACGTGTAAATAGGCTTCTCTTTGCGGTTACAGAGCTCCACTATTTAATGCATTGCAATGACTCCCCCACGGCAGCGAATCTCGAACACGATAAAAGGAAGGCAATATGCTCCGAAATACAGCCTTGGCTACTGAGTGCAAGCGAGAGACCTGAGTTCAATTCCAGGCAGAGGGCGAAACCTTGGGCAAGTTTCCTTACTCCACACAGAGCCTAATAATAATCCCTCCAAAACCAAAAACAATAATAAATTGGTCATTTTCAATCTACGACTGTTTGTGGGACATTGCTGTGCGCAATTGGCTGCCGCGTTCGCCCACAAATATACAGTCAATTCACTTTACAGTGTGTTTTGTGAAGCGCTTTGGGACGTCCTCCCGACGTGAAAAGCGCTGTATCAAATGCAAGGATTATTATTATTATTATTATTTCCTTACTCCACATGCCTCTGTTTAACTGGCAGTAAGTAGGAACCCGGTTGCTAGTTGATTGGCGGATCCGGGGGTAATAATCCCTTCAAAATAAACAAATAAATAAATAATAATAAATAAAAAATAATAATAATTTGGTCAGCTCAATCCACAACTATTTGTGGGACACTGCTGAGCTATACATTGTTGGAGATGCTGTGCTTCAGATGAGATGTTAAACCGAGACTCCATCCGTGCCTGGTCAGGCCGACGTCAAAGCATTATTATTATTTTTAAATCCCCGTGGCGCTATTTAAAAAGACAAGGGAATTTCTCCTGGTGTCCCGATCGACAGTCCCCCAGATAAAATTAGTCGTTCACTACACGGCTGTGTGCAAATTAGCTAATACAGGCCATCTTCATATCCCTCAATCCATTCATGCCACCACAAGTCTTTATATACCATCCTGTAATCTTTGGAACTCATTCCCTCTGTCTTTCTCTCTCACCCGCTCGCTATCTGTCCTCAACTCCCACCTTATCTCCTACCTCTTTGAGCAAACCTTTGCTCACCTCCCCCTTCTCCCCCTCTCCCCCTCCCCCCTAAGCCATGCTCAGTGTCTGAATCCATCATTGGGAAGTGCTCTCAGCCGTTACCCTTATAAAACACAGGGGTAATTGTGATTTTTTCCTCTTGTGTGGGAGTGCGGACTTTAGGTTGTTAAATTAGATAATTATTTGGTGAGGATAAGTTTGCAGGGCTATGGGGAGAGCGCGGGGGAGTGGGATTGATTTGGATAGCACAGACACTATGGGCCAAATGGCCTCCTTCTGCTCTGCATAATTCTATGATTCTATGATAATTACCTTTTCTCACACGCACCAGCCTCACAGAGGGATTTCTCGGGAACGTTTATTGAAGTAAATTGGAATCCTGGTCGCCAGCTCAGAGCACGATGGATAAATCAAACCTGGAGATTTAGGAGTCGAGAGACTTGGGCGAACTTGTGAACTTCTTCAATAAAGGGCTTTTGAGATCTCGCAGAACATTTGCTAAGTGCTGTGCAGTATCTGGACGGGGATAATAAAAATAATAATAATCCTTGCAGTTGATATAGCGCCTCATCACGTCGTTGAGACATCTCAAAGCGCTTCACAGGATATGCTGTAAAGTGGATGGACTGCAAATTTGCGCTTGCAAACCTACCTGGGATGGTACTCAAGAGATTTTAGTTCTTCTGCGCGCGCGTGTGTGTGTGTGTGCGCAAGAATATTGAGAGAAATGTAGCTTTATCCTGCAGATCACAATGAAAACTGCTTCAAGATTGTTACCTACTGGATACGCACACTAAACTTTGATAGAATTTTTTTTTAATTTAAGTAATTCGGTCACTCAATCTTCAACTGTTTGGCTGCCGCCTTTCACCCATAAAATATACAGTAATTTCGCCCAAAGCAGATCTCTGACTGTCCAGCGCCTTGGGACGTCCTCCTGACCTGAAAGGCGCTGCAGAAATGTCATTTGTTGTCGTTGCTTACAGTACATTTACCGTGAAGCGCTCTGAGACGTCTCGACGATGCGATAAGGCACAATATCAAATGCAAGGATTATTATTATTATTATTATTATTATTATTAATATTACAACTGGCGAATGCCGTGCTTTTTAAGACTGTTACCTGGATCCACAGTTGGGACAAACATCAAATGTTGATAGAAATCAAAGCCCCTCAGGAACAGTTATGAGAACCAAAGAACATAAGAAATGATAAAAGACAAAGGTCCATCTAGTTCGCCTTCCAGATGGTCACATGCACACACATCCCAAACTACCTATGGACTATAACCCAGAATGTTAATTCCTTAAAAGAAAACTTATCTAATCTGTGTGCGAGAGTTTAAGCAGAGCTTTAGATCTCATCAGCTGCAGTGATATCTAAAAGCAAATGGCCGCAACGTACGCAGTGTAATTACTAACGGGAGGCTAATTTCAGTCTCAC